TACTATAAGGAAATTTCATAAGTTAAATTAAAATTATGTTGTTGATAAGCATAACTTCTCTAAGTGAATATTCAGCAAACATTTCTTTCCCTTTCAATCTTTAACCACCAGTTTAAGGAGAACTAAATAGATCCTGAATGTATAATGGACTGCCATCCTTTTATCTTACTACTTATGATCCAGACAAGAGGTGATGGTTACCTAACAACCTTATTCATTTCTTTAGATCATCCTACCAAGCCAAACATGCTCCTAGATATGGCAATGTGCAATACAGTTCTTATTCAGGCCATATCTTTTTCACGTGATTTTTTCTTTTTAGGTTCTTTTCAAAACAAAGACTCACATATTAAAAAATGTGCCTTTACATGAAACAATTTTGGGTATAAATAATATTTTCCAAGGAAATCAGCTATGATAATTCAATCTGAAAGGCTATACTTAGTATGCAGTTTTCCGGTACTAGATATTGCCTCTAAATTGCATGTCCTGCTCATTTCAAACAAGCCTTAAATATAAAAACTCACCTGTATTTATACTTCATTGCATAAAATCATGTACAACAAACAAAAGATAAGTTACCCTACATCTAAGTCGGTCAGCATAAAATGTGTCTAGAATTCCCGACCACTAGATACAGCTTTAGAAAAGACCCCTCCCATCTCTACAAATGCACATAAACAAAGACATGCATCAGTGGAAAGAAAGAAAAACAACCTTTATGCATCCCACCAGAGAAATGTAGTTTTCTTGAAATCCAAAAACTGTCCCTCCAGCCAAAATTTCTTTTAACACCACATGTCATTTGCACTTAAGCTGTATCATTATCATGCGAGCAACCTAAACTTGGTTATAATTTCCAAGGTTGCTTGTGACTTACTTGCTAGACCATCTAATCAACTCCAACAACAATAATTCAGCATTTCAAGAAAGAAAAAGAAAACTGACAGGTTACCCCCCCCCCCCCCCTCTCATGTAAGAAATTCTTATGTGCTTTCTATTCAAGAAAGCCTAAATTAGAATGACTGCAACAGAAGTAGTCATAATTCATTTCATCACTGTAAGAATGACTTCGCCTCGAATAAAAGCAAACATTGAAGAGAGAAAGAGGGAGTTGAAAACTATAGTCTATAAGCCACAAAACCGATCCCAATAGTTGATGCAAGAGGGGATACAGTAACAGAACAAATAACTCAGAAACCATCAGATGCTACTCACAAAAGAACAGCTTTTTAGGGCCACAAACATATAAATGTTGCTAAGATCATTGAAATGATGGTCTAACTCAGTACAACCTGAATATATGCAACAGATATCCCATGTGTGGCTAGTTCAGTAAAGCAATGTCCTAACTGTTCTGTATAGAAATCTTCAAAATGAGAAATAAAACAAGAACATACCTACGAGATTTTCTGCAGAAAATTTGAGGCAAACAGACTTCAAATCCATAGCATGGTATCGATCAGCCAGGGCAAGAATCTTGGCAACAGAACTCACAGATATATCCTTGCAGAGTACAGCCTCACACATAAGTCTGAGTCTAGGTAAGTCATATCTGTCTGCTGCCTCCAACAATTTTGCAGTTAATGTGTCAAACACAGATGTCACAGAAGTTGAACTAGAAGCAGAAAGTTCCTCATCTTCAATTAGATCATCTTTGTATATGAAATGTAGCAAAGCCTGAACAATAGACATGCAAGAAGATATTAAAAAACAAGGCCGAAGAATTCTCTTTCAAAACAAGGCCGAAGAATTCACTTTCCCTCTATTGTAGGCCACACATATATTTACTATGAATGGCCCCATATTTCATGATTTTACAGGTACCAAAACTCATTCCACAGCTTAAATTTCATGTCTGCTTGTTGTTGAGACAAGCATTACATTGTGAATAGACATAATGTTCCGCATACATATTTCATGACACATTTCTTTACAATCCCATATAAGTCTCATATATGTCATCAAAAACATCTATGAGAGGGAAATGGTCAAATTAAAATCTTCTCTTGTCATTTCTGATCCTCAGCTCCATTCAGCAGTGAGCACCTTTTGAGATCAAATCAAAGGGCTTCGGAACTCCATGGGTAACACTAATGATTTAGCTTCTTTGTGTTTTTCTGCTGCAGAGACTTAGCAAAATTCCCTAGCTTATAAACAGCAGGACAGAGAAGCTCATTTGTTTTGGTACACTGTTATTTCAAAGGATACCTTGCTCTCCTATTCTGATGTTTATAAAATTATCGTCCTTTGTAACCCAAAAAAAAAAGTAGAAATAAAACTCAAGTTGAAGGATGTATCTTAGTGTAAAAACTCAATTGTATGCATTACAAGTGGATGATTAATAGAATATTTTAAGCAAACTTGGCAGATTTTGAATTATATGTCTGATATTTTGTCTAAATAATTACTTAACTGACCTAAGACAAAACCTTCAAAGGCTAACATAATCTTTAGAGCAAATAATTTCCACGCCTGCACCAAAAATATCAATACTCGGAGTAAATTGAGCTCTAAAATAATGCATGCTTCAAACATATAATTCATTATTTAAAGGTAAAGCAGAACACTCCAAGAAATGATATATCAATACTTGGAGTAAATTGAGCTCTAAAATAATGCATTCTTCAAACATACAATTCATAATTTAAAGGTAAAGCAGAACACTTCAAGAAATGATACCTTGAACACCTTAGGTTCTATATCTGAAATAACTATTTCGCTGTTATCTTCCTCCATTGCATCAAGAAGTTCATTTTCGAATACAGGAGACCGAGCAACCAATACCAACTTGTGAGCATGAAACTTTTGCCCTTGCACATTGAAAATGATATCAGAACAATCTTCATTCTCCAATAGCATACCAAAATGGTCTCCAATATCTGACTCAGGGACCTTTATAGAGTGCAATCTCGAGCAATCAGTTGCAGAAACCACAACACCAACAGTGCAGTGAATTTTCAAGCAATCATCTTTTAGAAAATCTGACGATTCAAGCATTGCTCGTCTGAAGAATCGCTTGTAACCCCTGGAGGGGGGACACAAAGGGCACACATTTAGCTATAGGAACTGGAAACCATTCCATACGCTAATAACCAATTCCAACAAAAAAAAAATGTAAAAACACAGAAAATTGTATCAGTAAAGAATCTATAGATCACTTAAAACTTTAGATGTTCTCAACCGTAGAATTGAAAAAACAGAAAATTCCATTTTATCACCAAAGTCAACTCTAATATTCCATTTCAATAAAGAAAACAGCATATATCCTCTCTTAATAGTATAGGAGAGGTTCCAAATAGCGGAAGAGCCGTTTATTTTATTTCAAAAAAACCATACAAGCCATGAAAAAACCAAAAACAATTTAATTGGCAGCGTCTCATCTGCAAGCGGGGCTCAGAATTAGATCACTCGGAAACTGCATTCGTACAAATTAGCACAGCTCATAAATCACATCAACCCTCCCGCAAACAAACTCTATTTTAAATTCAATCACTCTACTCTATCATGCAATTGATTCTACTCAAGATCCCAAGTTCTTCCGATGCCTAATTAGGAAACTACAATAAAAAAGTAGAAAAGAAAAAAAGAAAACCCAGAATCTTATTATACCACATGCTGCCGCGATACTTGAGGGTATAGGGTCCACTCTCGAGGGAGCGATCAAAGTGACTATGAACTTTATGTTTGCCTTTACCACTCTGATCAATCAAGGTGAGCTCGAAAAGGGCACGAACATCGGTGCCTTCGCTAGCAAGAGCGATGAAGACAGAGACATAAGAGGAATGGTCTTCAGGGTTTTTGCCATCTGGGTAGAAATAAATTGCCCACTGATAACCACCAACAGTGAAAGTCTCGCTAGCTATGTGTTTCCCTAC